TGTATCTTACACGCAGACGAATCCAGCAACATTGGTTTGTACCACATCATCCTCCGGTGAATCGGCAAAGGAGACCGACAGCAAGTGATGAAGTAGATTTGGACCAGGTGTAACAGCAACTAATTTCGTTAAATTGTCCTCCGCTTTCATTCCCAGCGGCATACAAGATGCGGGTAGCACCGGAGCTCCAATTTTATACAATCTAGCTTCGCTCCATTTAACTTCAAAACTATGCGGATATAGCGGAGTTCTGGATCCATAAAAATATTCCCTGACACCTTGATCTCTGGCTTCTATCCTCTGCGTCTGGCTTCTCTCTACCACACCACCGCTTTTTGGTAGAAAAACGACTTTAACGAAATCAGGCATATCCCTGACAAGTTCGTTGTAAAGTCTTTCTTGATCTAATACCAAAATCGCGTCTACTTCGAAAGCTTGAGCCGCGTGAGTTAGTAATTTGTACCCATCTCCCTTCACCCATCCACAAGTATTTATCACAATACCGGAAACTCTCGCCTTTTTGTTAGCTTGAAGTCTGTCGGAACAAACTTCCGCTAATCTTGTTACTAGAAGATTGTACAGAGCAACATTGGTCTGCGGAGATTTGTGGCCAAAATGAAAGACCAGCGGTGCCTGCTGACTGAAGCCTTCCACGATGTTCGACGGACGTTCGACGAGCAGAGCTCCAACTGTGCCAGGTATCGCTATATGACCTTGGCCGACGTCTAAGTCTACAAAAATTGGTCTGCGGCCCATTCTGACTGCGTAGTTTAATAAAAGTCTGCACAAGGTAGATTTCCCAACGTCGCACGGCCCTACAATCATCGTTATCGGACCCCTGGTATCGTCCTTCTCCGCGGTTTCTCTGAGCCTTTCCATAGCGGCGTGGCAATTCAAATACAGACCCATCGGAGTTTCCTTGGCGACGTAACTGACGTCAGTTTTACCAACCAATTCGACCGTACAACTTTGCCAAGTAAATACAGCTACTTTAGCTCCAGCAGTGAATTCGTATTTCTTTCCCTTTACCAGTTCCGTCCCAAATACTTCCGCCAAGCCGCTTTTCAGCTGTAAAATAATAAATTCGTATTTACAACTGGAGACTGAAATCCTCCGTCGAGATTTTGACAAGGGGATAGGAAAAATAAATTTCGGACGAATGTAATAACCAGGAATATAAAACAGACGACGAACACTGTGTAAAGATAATAATAAATAAAAAAACATTTCATCGATTACCTCGAGCGTCACTTTTTCATTTTTACTTTCAACCTCGAACCGCAATTCGCAATCCGGATCCAATTTGAATTCTTGCGTTTGCGCCTTCTCGTCTGTCATATTGTTAATATAAATTACCCCTGAATATTTATCACATGCCTTTCAATATAAATCATTTAACATTCTCTCCCCGCAAGTCAATCTTCTCCGAGTTTTCTGACGCGCTGAAAAGTTTACATCGGATAAAATAACCTTTAATTTAGCAGAAAACACTAATCGTATCTCTAGATATTACCTACACAGCTGTCAATACAAGCGCCGTTATATTAATGACAGACATCAATTAAAAACCTGGACTTTATGTTACAAACAGATTTATGACGCTCTTATTGTTTACAAAAATGTTGCTGCAAATTACATATATGCATGCGTACTGTCAACATTCCACTTGCTATATACTTCTTATGATAGTAGCGCCATCTAGCGGACGGGCGTTTTCGAAGCTTTTCCCTATACCTGCAATGTGTAAGATAAGAACAGAGACAGTCTCACTCGTGCCACCACCTAGGAAAAAGCATCTCATCGGTCCCTGGTGCGTACGCGCGAAGCATCAGGACCGAGGAGGTCTCCAGAATATGAATTTAGGTGGCGCCATCTAGCGGTGGAAGTTAGGAACTAAATGCGTCGCCTCGATGTGGAGAACAAAAGCTAATTCATTAATAACTCAACTACCACGAATAATTTATGAACATTTGTAATTTTTAATTATAGACTGGACCCTCCCCTACTTTCCCATACCCTTTTGGTTAAGATTTTCCTCCTCGTTAATTTTTTATTAATTATTTTCCAAGTCGATGTCGCAAGGTAACTTAGAATTTTTTGATAGGTGCCCAATAAACAATTAGTTTCTCACTTAATAGGAACAAATTGTGAACATTTATGATCGAAGAAATTAGGGTAGACCCTTGGGAACATTCAGTAGCAGTTTTAACGAGACTCGAGTGAGTAATTAATAAGTTATTAACGATTTCCTGGTGGATTCTTCGCGGCCCTAAGGAAGTTGCTTTTGGCGCTATCTAGCGTACACAGTATGGTACTAATTGGCTATAAGTTTGAACCATTTTGCACTAGGTGGCGCCACCGTTGTGGGAGGCGGGATTTTTAAAAATTATTTTCTTAAATTATCTTCGCAGGTTTTTAATAGATTAGACACGATTGTTCTGTGTTACGAATGAAATGTTTAATTATTATTTGACAATAAACAATTAATTATGACACTTAGATTGATTGTATAAAGAAAGCATTTAACTCCGTTCCGAATTCTAAAGAGAAACCCCTCGAACCCTCAAGAGATGACACTCGGGTATCAAACACGAGCTGTCTAGGGGGTCTTAGAACCCCCCAGTTTTAGTGAGGTTCTTCGAGGGGGTCTTAGAACCTAAGAAACCCCCTAAAATCTTTCGGGGGGTTCAAGGGGTCTCTTGTGAGTTTTCGAAAGATTTTACGAGGGGGTCTTAGAACCCCCCAGAAGTTCTCCGAGGGGGTCTGAGGGGTTTCTCGTGTGATCTAAGGAGTTTCATATGGGGATTCCAGGGGTTTCTTATGAGGTTTCAAGGGGTTTCTTATGGGAGTTCCTAGGGCTTTTTATGGGGGTCCGTGGGGTTTCTTATGGGGTTCCTTCAAGGAGTTTCTCACGGGATCCGAGGGATTTCTTATGGGGTTCCAAGGGGTTTCTTATGGAGTTCCTTCAAGGAATCGTATTTGTATAATACAGGAACGATAGAATGGAAATAGAAATGAAATTCGCAAGATAGCAAGTTGGCGTGTTACCGCGAGCAAAGTGTTCGAGTCTGTATTATTCGGTAGATTAATACCGAATGAAAATGGGAAATTGTCCAGGTAAGATCGAATGCCTGGTCGCAGACTCGTTTTGTCGTCGTCTCTTAGAGATTATAGTATATAGATTGTTATAGAGATCACCGCGCCTGCATAAGTACTCCCGACGACCCGCAACCCGCCTAACGCTTACGCGTCGCTTTACCGAGCGGAGTTTCGTTGATTAATACCTTTGGGAAATATTCGTTGAATCGACTCTAAGATTATACTATAAGATTCTAAGTAACATGTAGTACAAGGTATTAATCGATCTTTATTTTCTACGAGACGGGATCGAATCGACTGCCAGCGATAAACTTGTAACGTACAGTTCAATGTTGGAAACACGAGAACTATAAAGGGAGAAATAAGAATTTGTCGGATTTAGGAATTTATAGAATTTATTTGGCACATTTGTATCTCGAAGGGTTTACCTTCAACATCGTTTCTTAACGTTAACAGACTTCCGAGAGGTAGTATTTTTGTACAATTTGTAGTTCGAGGTATTCTTACACTAGTAACGCTACTGTACCCTATCACGCCTGCGCGGCGCCATTTGAATTCCAAAGCCTGCGGGGTCAGCGATAGTTTTCTTTCAGTTCTGTTACGGTGAACCACGACGAATCACGGTGACACGCGTGATTCTACGACGGAAAATTTCATTGCAAAACCGTTCTTTCCATAATTAATAATAAGAAATAAAAGCGAATATTTTTCTATCGATCGATATCGGTGTACGCGAAGATACGGATGTTTCTTTGCAACTGAACGATCGTCGGCGTGTCGGCGGAACTCGAAATTAAAAGCAGCGTAGTTCGACGATGGCAAAATTCCTAGCAACCGTGAAAGCGATTATCACGCGCCTCGTTTTTGCTTCGCACGGTTTCATCGCCATTTGGCAAGTGACCACTTTCAAGAAGAATCCTCTCTTTTGGTATCTCAGTTGTCCAATCTTGTTGCTGTTCCTCGAAGGCATCTTCACGCTTACTATAAAAGAAAATCAAGAATGGAAGTGGTAAATGAGAGAAATATTTTTGCTTCAGACATATTTTAACAAGAACGATCAAAGGTAAACGCGCGATGAGCGTTATTGGAAACGCGGAAACGGGGATTTCAACAATGAAATCTTTGCTTCTGAAAATCTTTCGGTGAAATGTTATCGACTGTTCAGAATTGTGTACTCGAACGCTGGCGTTTCAACAATTCGTTGCAGATACTTGAACGTTTTTGAAAATTGCACAATTTTCAACAATTTCCCAACATTTCCTCGAAAGAGTCGTAGAAAGTTGTAAAGTTAGGTAAAAATAAACGTACCCGGGACAGTTCTCTCTGCCGGGGAAGGTCTACACGGTAGAACAAGCCCACTTATTCGAGCGAGGAAGGGTGTGTGTTGTGGGGCCATCCTGGTTTGACAGACGGAAATTGGAGCATTAGTAACGGGAGCGAAGCGCGAGAGTCGATTCGCGCGCTATACACGTCGGAGCGGCTCGAAAATTATTGACACACCGAAAAGACTACGTGTGTAACGGTGACCCCTTTTTTTCCAATATCCCCTATCTCGTTCGAATCGTGTGTGATCGATTCTTACCGAGGATTCAGCGGGGACGGTGAACGACGTTCTCGAGGAAATCAATGCAGCGCGCGAATCCTCCTCGTGCCTCGGCATATTAATCTTGCGCTTGTTGCGTCTTCGGGCTCTATCGACGCTCGAAAAGATATCGTTTCGCGTTTCCTGTCGTTCGTTCTATACAGAAATTCAAAGATAATTAAAATTCTCTTACCATCCGACAGGTTTTGTCCTTCCGTGTTTTTGTACCTCAGCAGCGTGGTGCCCGCTATATGGCTTCTAGAGCTGGACAAAGTGGACAGAAGACTGAAAGCTTTCGAGTCCAACGTGAACATATCGGAGAATCTGGACCTCGCCAACCTGGCTGCGAAGGATCTGAAGCACTTGGAGGAAGCGTTGGGCGTGAGCGACATTTCTAAACAGCCCGCGAACAACCGCGAATCGAACGCTCACGTTACTCCTCTTCAGGTAAACATCCACCTGCCGGATATTCAAATATCCACGGAAACATGGGTCACTTTGATAGAGCAATTCTTGATGTTGGTCTTGATCATCGGAAGATGGATGCTGCCGAAGGGTGACCTGACGCGCGACCAACTCAGTCAGTTGCTGTTAGTTTACATAGGTACGGCTGCCGACATCATCGAGTTTTTCGACTCTTTCAAAGAGGACAGAATAGCGCGCGAACCTGTACTGGTGTACCTGACGCTGGGCATCTGGGCATGGTCCTTGATGCAGTTCACCGTTGTCCTGACCGCCACCAAGTCCAGAAAGTCCCGGCTGTCCTCGGGCAACGCTGTCAAGAAGAGAGTGCACAGCGAGACCAGTTGTTGCAGCATCGACGTCTGGGGAATCGCTTTGAACATGATTCTTCAGGTACCGTGCCGTCCCCCGGCTATTCGGATCTCTCGTTTACCCGTTGCCGCGAGTTTCTCTGCGTTCGCTTGACGATTCGATCGAATTTCAGGATGGCCCTTTCCTCGCGTTCCGGCTGATCCTGATCATTCATTACCGCATCGTCAGCTACATGAACATCTTCTTCACTTGCAAAAATACTTTGGTTATACTCTTGCAGCTTTACAGGCTGTACGTAGTGCAAACAGAAAACAAGAGTAAGCGGAGAAAGAGACCGGCCACCGCGAATATCAGTATCATATCGAGGGGAGACGTCTGCAATGGTCGGAGGACCGAGCAGAGCAAGAAAAGGAGAAGGGAGAAGGACGTGGAGGCCAATTACTCGGACAGCGAACGGACCACCACCGAGGAAACGGACAAATTCGATTCCTCTCCCAGATGCACCGAACATTCCAAACGGTATTCGCGATTCAAAGAGAACCTCGAATTCGAGCATTCGAATAGACCTCCTCGTTTCTTGAAATCACGCAGGAGAACCAGGCAAGACACCGGATACTCGACGTCCAGTTCGCGCAATTCCGCGAGGCGCACCAGGTCCCGAAAGAACGAACGGAAAAGACGGCCTTCCCGCAGAGAGGAACCCAAGTACGAAGTTTCCTCCGACGACGAGAGACGCAGGAGGAGAAACGACAGGAAATCCTCCGAGAAAGGCGACAGAAAGTATTCCGCAGACACCGCCAAGACGAGGCCCAAGAACGAGGACTCTAGCAAAAGTTCCGGTAAAAGCAGGAAATGCAACGAAGATACCGAAGACCGGTCCACGGCCGAGGAGATAGTCGAGAAGACTGTCACCGAGGAGAGCCAGTCGGAATCGGAGAAAAAAAGGCAATTATTCGATCGAGTACGATAAAAAAGTCCGACGCGAACACGCGTAATATATCGTGGTATATCTTCGCAGGTACGTTCATCGAAAGCGAAGACAGAACAGAGACTGACGACAAAGTCTGGGTATAATCGCTCTATTGTGCGTCTATTCGGCGATTCTTCTCGTTTGCATGTTGCTCTTACATGCGGTTATCAACGATGGCATGGAGTTGACGACACGAGTCGAGAGAACCTCCCACGTTCGTTAACTTTTTCCACTTTATTTCAGCGCGATCCGAGTCAAACGAATAATAATTCGTGTTACTTCTCCCAGGGTACAAGTTCCTAAGAATCATTCTCCGTAAAGTACAATTATTAACCAATATTATTTCTATCTCTCGTTTAGAAATTCAAACACATCTGAACACAATAATTAAACTCGGTAAACGGCAAACAAAAGAAAATGAATCTATCGATAAGCCACTATTTTAATAGGATCTCCTGGAGCGTTAACAACTTGTATCGATTATCAATTAAATATATTTGTACTATGATTCTGCTCCGACATTCTATTAAATAAAGAAACAAATATAACTTTTACGTGTTTTTCTTCTTCTTCCGAATCTGTATAAAGTCCGAAGGAAACAAGGTACCGGGTCGTTGAAATATCGATACAGATTCGTAACTCCTTTACCATAAGTCTAACATAATTGCTCATACGATCGAATCGTTGCACGTTTCTAACCATTGTATACTCTGAGAAGCATCCAAACTATCGATATAATTAGCCAAATCGTCCTGATGGGTTCCAGTAGCGGCGCAATACAGTATCGCTGTATTTTCCAACAATTCTTGCAAAAACTGGGTCTTCGTCGTTGTCGCGTTTACCATAACATTCGCGAAACTGTTTTCTTTCTTCTCCGAGCTAATTGCACTGGACTGTAACTTTTGAGATAGCTCCGAGTACTTTAAATCTTCAAACGACGATTGTCTGCTGCTGTTCGACATTTTCGAGATGGTTTTTCTTTCGTTCGAATAGCCCTTCGTGTCCTTTAGTTTCTCCACTGTCAAATGAAATCGCCTCCACTTTCCTTGAGGAAACTTTATGTTCACGTTTCCTCTCTCGGAGGAATTCTCCCGATCACACCGTTTCGCGTACTCTTCTTTACTCGATACTTCCTTCGTTCCAATGTTCTTCGAGTCGGTGTAGAATCCATGGTTCTCGATGGCCGGTTTTTTCATACTGCTCTTATTATACTCCGAGAGAATTTTTGCTATCTCCGATGCGTCGCTGGCGCACCAAATCTTATTTGGCTGATCGGATAACGATGCTTTTAAAGTTACCTCCTTACCAGTAGGATCGTAAGATACCTTTTTTTCTTCTCCGGTATTCGTCTCTTTCGCTACCTGAATTTTATTCTGTTTCGCGTTATCGAGAAGATACTTTGCAACCGTGAACTCTACCTTACTCGTGCGTTTCGTGGGATTTGTGGGAGAGTGTTTCGAGGAGACTTTTGAATTCTCCGACAAATCATTAATAGGAATCGCGTTATTGAACACAGAAGGTATATCCAACAGAGTGTCGTTGACGTGTTCCAATTTTATCAGATTCATATTGTTAGGTAATGGTTTGAAAATCTGAGTATTGTTCACTTCCGAGGTATCGACTAGGATTAGTGGGTTATTAGAAGATTGTACTACTTCCTGTAGCTTTATCTGTCCGTTCTGAAGAGGTTTCAGATTAGCAAAGACGATAGGCTTTTGAGGATTGGCAACATACACCTTTTGTATCGGAAACAATTGAGGTTTCGCCGTATTGTTAAAAATTTTAACATTCCGAGACATCGTAGTTGCAGAGTAATTGTTCGATACCCTGTTTCCTTCTACCGTTTTCCGTAAGTTTTCCTTACTAATAACAAACGACTTATTCTTACCGGCAGATTCCATAAAATTTCTCATCGAGGATTGCTGTTCCGACCTTCTTAGAATATTTGGTGAATTTTTACTCGCGTTTAGTTTATTAATTTTACTCTCAACATTCGTTTTGTAGCTGGGAGTCATCACCTGCGAGCAGTACCCTAGAACGCAATGAAAACTCTCGTGCATACACTTTTCAAAGGATTTTGCTTTCTTGGATGAAAGAGACGTTTTTGAATTTCTCATGTGATTCGAATTTTCAGCGATCTTTGTTTTCCTATTTCGTTTTTTTTCACCGGCAGAAGAAAGAAAATCACAGCGCGGATCTACGGATACCACTTCTATTTCAGGACTATCCGCTACTCTGTGGTAAGAATGACCATCGATGCTAGTGTAACAACGGCCCAAGTACTCTGTAGCCAAGCCTACCTGAAAGATCCCCACAAAGTGGTTCAATCGGGGTAATATATTTCAATACGTATAAATAGAAATCTCACTCGAGGATGATAGATGGGTCTCTCGTGCATTCCATGTACAGGCCACTCTTTCCATTCCATTTCGTCTCTTATCGTAGGTGCCTGATAAGTGGCTCCTACATTGTACATTTTTCGCGTGACAGATCTTGTATTCATGTATGGCATCGTAGAAGACTTTCCTCGTTTAATAAGCTCGAAATCAAAGAAGGTTCCCTTCCTTTTCGCCGAAAGCAATTGTTGCCTGGGTCTAGGAAATTGTTTATCTAGATGTTTCTTCGTTACATGCATAGGATCCTTTTGAATTTCCCTGATTCCACGACTGCAAAAGAAAGGATAAAGAAAAAGGAGGTTTTCAATTATTGGGAGACTACTAGGAGACTTTTTCCAATGTTTACCAAACTTTTTGAAATTTCAATCGTACGCGATAACTTTTTCAGGTCTAGAAAAGATTATCGACAGGCGATGGTACAACAGGAATTATCAACGACTGATTATACTAACGACTGGTATTGTAACAATAATTGTCGATACGCTCAGTAAACAAGGTCTCCGGGTCTCTACTTACGCATGGAATTAACGGAAAACTATGCGGTAGAAACTCGTCGAGTACACAACACACGTGTTGCTTAATTGTATCGATCCTGAATCTTAGACATACTTTCTTCTCGTTGTTCGATGCACTCTCCTGACTGTCGTAGGTGCGCCAGACGTCGAGCCTCCGCTACTGGTTTCCGTAGAGTCCTTCACGTAATCACTATCATCCTTGTATCTCTTTTCTCGTTTCATCGGAATTTCAGGCGATTGTTTCTGCAAGATGTCGACCCGTTTGTAATCCACTGCCGACTCTTCCGTCTCTTCCGTCTCCGCGGACAACAACGGTTCCGAGTCTGATCGTTTTCGAAGAGTCATTTTCAATGTTTCACCGGCAACTTGAATCGTTCGTTGATCTTTTTGCAGGCGATTTCGGCTGAATTCCGACTCGTCGATTCGAACGTACATCGAAGATCTATCGTTTTCTTTTTCTATCACTGCGATCACGCTCACATCATCGTCCTCTTGGTTCTCCCCGGAATGTTGCGTCGTTAGCTTCTCCATTTACCTTTTGCTGCTTACTCGAACATTCGGAAACAATCAACTGTCGATAGGTAAACAGAGGTATACCTTTTCGACGAACGACGAGATTCATCCGAACGTTATCGGAGGCACGCGCAAACTACGCGTTGGAAACGAACCAACGCGAAACGTCAACTGCTCGACGTACGCGTGATTCCAACGACACGGGGATTCCCAGGACTCTTCTGGTCTCGAGCGAATCCCGTTGGAAAGGCCCGTAAACAACTGTAACAGGATTTATTTGGTTACGGACGATCATAAAAGATGAGAGTAACATACTTGTGTGTACTCGTGTATGTACATACCTGCATGCCACACAGTACTGGACCAGAGGCGCGAATTCGATGCTTTTGTTTCTCGCAGAAGAAAGGGGAACAACAGTGTCATCTATCAATTCGAACTTTGACGACTACGTCGATGATGCGTCTTTTAAATATCTTACAATTACCTACAATGCGCTCTGCATCATCTATCGTTCATATTAATCGAATTCAATGGATGAAATATCAAATATAAAAGATATTTACCGTTTTTTCGATACTTGTAATATCTCCATGGACCAAACAGAATCTTTTCGCTTAATATTTCTTATTCGATCTTATCGTATACCAATATTAAATTCGACAAGGATATTTGTTTTTGATATTTAATAGACTTGTCGTATAAACAAGCGAGGTACTTGTATATTATATGTCACGTTTCTCGTTTTATATTTTATGCATTTTAATCGAATACTTGAAACGCAAGCAAATACAACTGTGTATTCCCTTCAACATTTATTCCTTGAGTTTTAGACACGTTAAATTGTTTGTTTCTGTTCGATCGTGGATGCCATACATAGACTAAGATAACGTTAATCGATTTGGGAAAACGGTATCGAAAGTATTGAAAGAAAAAGAAAAAAGTCGGATGATCGATGAACGAATGGACAAAAAGGAATCGTAGGATGAAACTAGAGAGCTTTACGGCTGCTCGCGAGCGCTGACTTTTATTCCAAAGAAAATACTAAACTATCATAGAATAGCTATTCATTGTACACGCGAGTATTGCATTTATATATAATTTATATGTATAGAAATACGAAATATAATATGATGCATCATCGCTCGTATTGCACGTAGATGACTAGAACTGAAATGTACAACATTCATATGTATGTATATAACGTCCTTTGGCACTCTATTCCAGTTGGGATTTATTTACAAAGAAAAGGAGAAATTCTGCGTTCAATTCATATTGTCCGTAGTGAGGGCGAGGGTAGTCAAGACCGATCGCCTGTTCGGGTTCACGCCAAGATTTTCCCAGTTTATCCAGGACAAACGCGCAGTCAGATCTGCAAGAATACTATTGTTACGTTTTCTCATTCGGATAGGAGGCACGCACAGGTGTCGCGGAACACAGGTGAACGGAATGTTTCTGCAAGAACAGAGAGAGTTCTAGCGACGATTCGAGGAGCTATTCCAAACTATCGTACGCTACTAATCATATGATAGAGTCGCGAATTGAACCGGTGGTTCCCTACTGACCGCTGGTGTTCCATTCGGCGCGTTCCCCATTTATTTCTCCTCTAAGGCACCTCTCGACGTACGTCAACGGATCGAGTCTCGCGGCCAGCACCTCTCGCAGTAGAGCGATGTAAGCTATGGCCAGGCGAAGGGTGTCGATCTTCGATAGCCTCTTCTCGTACGGAAACGTTGGTACGTGGACTCGTAGCTCGTCGAAAGCCGAGTTGATGCTGCTAAAAACCGCAATCGAACTGACAATCCGTCTCCACTGTTATTCCCAACGGGTTCGGTAGCTAAACGTAACTACCATCATGGCGGGGGTTCGAGCATTCAAAATAATTTCTCACCTCAGCATACGTTTCCTCTCCCTGATGTTGGCGGCGTGTCGTTGGATTCTGTAAGGACTGCCGTTCGGATAATAACCCTCCTCCACACCGTTTATCTCTGTGTCGTTGTGATCTGAGAAAGAGGAGAAGAAACGCAACGTTGATCCGGCGTATCTGAACGGTTGAAAAATTCCTATCTAGTCGTCGGTGTATCTACGAGAGTATCCTTTTATATTACCAGGTGTAGAGACCGGCATGTGATAGTGTAAAGGCGAGTGGGTGTGCGAAGAAGCGTGTGGCACATGCTGAGCGGATCTTCCTGCGTAAACGCAAGACGGCAGCTCGGCCAAGTCCTCTTCGCTGATGTCGCTGCTCGGGCCCACGTAGTACTGCGTACTGAAACCAAACACATTCGATCGGAAATGCAAATTGATTTCAACGACTCTCTATTAAATGTTTCTCGGAATGTCGAAATAATCGTGGTTCACCTAGTGCAGGCGACGGTAGAGTCGGCAGGTCTGGACGTGGCCCCGACTCTGTGCCTCATCCTCTGTCCTCTGTCCTCGTAATCGTAAGTGGAATGACTCGCCATACCTCCCCCCCTCTCTTCACCAGCTCATTAATCACTTCACTGATCAGGGGTCGTCCAGACCGATCCGGCTCAATCTTCTGTTTGTTCTCGAAACGATCGTCCGTCTCGACCGAGACAACCCTTTCGACGCACTCAACTTTCGAGATGTTTGTTTGGTCGGTAGTCAAAATATCGGTGGTAACCTGTCGGGGGTGTCCAAGGTATCACTTCGCGCGGTGCAGACAGGTGGGAGTTGCGGATCCGCGGTACAGCGAGGACTCGGACTATCGTCCGTGTCCCTGGGGAGGCTGGTTTATATACCTTCCGCGAGCGGACTGCGAGGGGGATGATCGATACCAACCCCTGGGCGGAGATTCCGTCCAATCGCGACGATCCCCAGCTCCGAATCACTGTCAGAAGTTCCGCGGATTGGTGGGCCGGTTAATAGCGAGCGCTTCGCGTCCGAAAGTTCTGCGGTTCATTGTTACTGCCCGAGCCAAATTTTATTTCAATCGTTTCCCACCACCCCCACGGCTCTCGGCGAACCGGTGAAATTGTCCGACGGAGGAAGGAGGAGGAGGAGTTCCAATTTCGCGCTGGACGGATCGTCGAGAACGCCGGATTCTTTTTCGGGGAACCGGACAGCAGCTGGATTTCTCCTTGGACCCGAATACATTCGAGAGCTTCGAATTCAAATCGTTCCGATACCGTCTCGATAACAGTTTCGTCGCGTTTCACGATCCCCTTTCTTTTAACGGGAGATCCCTGTTCCCCGAGTCTTTCGATCTTTCTCTCTTCCTTTCCTTAGGATCAAATAAAACTCTGCAAATTTCCTTTCGAAAACTTGAAAACGAAATGAAATGACGCGACTAATGTTTCCCATGTATAATTTGAACAGAGTGAAAGTGTGCCGAGTCGACGGCTAGCTTCGATTTTTGCAAGCCGATCGAATAGCATGAAAATATCGGGAAATATGGGAGTCGATCCATGAGCCGTGTTCTCATAGATTCCCGGGGTAATCCGAATTATGCGCGCGGACGTATCGGCGGCCGACAATAGTAATTCGGCCCGGGATTCCTGTCGTCGACTAGAAACTCGTTTTCCACGGGGACCGGTCCAGACAAAACTTTGCCCGGCCGCCGGGGTACACAACCCTACCGTGCACCACCATTGTGATCGTATTAACACCTTGCATAATTGCGTCGCCACCGACGCCGCCGCGTTTCTCATTGTGCGTGCCGCTAAACACGTCTCATTTGAATATTGGCCCATTCATATCTCTCTGGGAAGCTCGATCCGCTGATAAAGGGGATTCTGCGGTCGCTTCCTCTTCATCGACACCGCCCGGCGCTATTCTTTCTCAGGCTGTCAGATTTCCTCTGGAACCGTGGACCATTTACGCCCAGGTGAGTACGGTTACCTGCCGTTAACGTCATCGTGAATCTCGTTTCTCGTGACATTTCATTTCATTTCATTTCTCGTGAAAACCTCGTTCACCTCGTCGAACATTACGTGCAGCGATCCTCGAGAATCTGTTGGACAATATTCCGTGAGAAATAACAACGAGTAGGTTACAGGCAAAGTACAGGGTAATTCGCTGGAAAAAAATCATCTTCCCTTCGCGTTGAATCGCTAGCGACGAATGGAAATCTTCGAGGATCATCGGCGAAAGGAGGACGCGGACCAGATGCGACTCGAGTGTGTCGGTTTTGCGAGTATCGGTTCACAAACGTTCCGGAGTGTGCCGTTTCGAGTATCGCCGTGACAAATTTCGAGAGGGTATTGTGTCCCCGCAAAACGATTATTTATCTCAATTTGTCACGTATCCTCGCCAAGGGGGACCGCGCCGATCGTCCGACCGAGATCGGGTTCCGCCGTCTGTGATTTCTGTTTGCCGACAGTCCACCCATGCGTAGCTTCTTACGCGTGTTTAGCTATTACTCCTCGACTCGAGAAATATTCTATAGAGTTTCCTCGACGATGTACAATCGAAACTTGTGAAACTTGTATTCGAAATCTGTTATCCGAAAGCTCGAGTCCCGGGGCTCACCTGTGTAAGCTTGACTGCGTTCGCGATTCTTCGTTCGAAACTCGTGATCCAGACGCGTACTTGTAAACGTTCCCTCCTACGGGTGATTCGCGCGGATTCGCAGCGTTGGCATGGTTCAAAAATCGAGGGAACGATGCCACACTCGATTCGTTCGGTTTGCTTTTCCCAACACCGAAAGAAGCGATTCGAACGGAACCGATCGCGAATCTGAAAGGTGAAAACATCGTGGCTTGTCAGCATATTTGACCAATAAATAATTTACCAAACAAATTGATCCCCGAGGACTATAAACAGATACTTAGAGGCACGCGACCGTCCCTGTGTAACCGGCGGTGCATTTATTGACCTTGCGGTCAGAGGAGCCATCGAATAGTTTCCATGGACAATAGATGATCGACCAGCCACGGAAACCCCTACTGTGAGAACCGAAGTGGGGCCCGCGGCGTGAAATCTCTATTATCGAGGGGTTGGAACGGTACCCCGTTGTTACGCAGCGCTGGTACGCGTATCCGAACGAACTGGCGCTGACAGGGCGCCCCGGCCGGCCCCTCGTACCGCCACGGAAATAATGTAATCACGAATTAAACGTTTGCTCGGATATCCGCGATCCCCTGGTCCACTTCTAGGAGGCTTTGCAGCCTGTCGAACAGAGCGAACCGTTCCTCGCGGTCTCGCCACCTGAAAAACCAATGACAAATCTCCGGACAAAATCTTTGCAAACTCTTCACGGTACACGCCACACGTTTCTTCGTGCTCTTCTTCTTCTTTGCGGATAATCCTTAAACGGACATAAATTACATGTTCGTTTCTTTCGCGACATCCTTTCCTCCGCGATATCTTGGCCGTTTCGGTTTCGTTTACTCGATAATCGTGACAGTTTTCGGACATTACGGGTAGCTCGATTCGTTTCTTTTCTCTCGCGATCATCATTGCGAGTACCCTTGAGCGGCGATAGGTCGTGGACCGGGATCTGAAATGAAATATGCGGAGCGATGCAATTGACGTTCACCGCCGCAAAACTGTGTGCAACGACGC